TGATCTATATAAAAACTATTATTTTATATTTATATATATGGTCTTTTTAACCAAAAAATGGTATAAAATTTTAAATAAAAAATATTTAATATTAAATACTTTCATAATATACATAATAATTATTTATATTCTTTGTATTAATTGGGTTCACTTATAGAATTTCTCAATTATTTCAGTTCAATTTTAGGTTGGTTTTGAATAAATGATTAAAAATGAGTCCACTAAGAGTGCACATTATTGTTTTTTCAACGCAACGATAATATAAAATATGAAAATTATAAATACTAAATATATTTTTATAATATAAAATGTTTGATAAATGCATTATAATATTAATTGAAATACAAATTAATAAAGTTTGCTAAAAGTGAAGTGCACAGAAAATCTTTTGATATACTGCACAATAATGATAGACTAGATCACTAATGTCTATGGGATAACTATAGTTAACATTTTTTAGTCATATATTGTAATTTTATAATTATTCAATAAAAATGTAGTAAATTTTTTTTAACTATAATTATGTCATGAATAAAACTGTTTTTGTAATTTTATAATGTTAAATTTTATTGCTAATTTTTACTAACTATACTTTTTATTAAATAATTAAAAAAATATATCTTAAACATAAGGAAGTAATTCGATCAATTAATTTCGGGGAACGAATTATTAGTAATTCGGAGCTAAATTGGGAGTTCACTCATATATTATTCTTGTGAGATCCCCCTATATATAATTCCCGAATGTGCTGAGCCTATGTGGCTGCTTCTGGCGTTTCGGAATCTTACTTGGCGAAGAATCATGCTTCGTAATTGGTTTGAACAAATAATATTAATATATTAATAATTAATAGTCTAGGTTGGAACATTCCATAAATATTAATTAGCTAACTTAGGTACTTTAATATCAGTTGTACTAATATTGCCCTTTAAATTTTTGTAATTTTACATAGTGAGGCACTAAGTGACTAATATATCCCTGAGGACCCTGACTTTTGATTTGCTTTCTACAATTAATTATTGAATTGTAAATATATTTAAAAATTGATAACTTTTGTATTTCTTATCGATTTTACATATATAATATATCAAATTAATCATCTTTTGATGATCTTCGTTTTGACATCCATATTGTATATATGATATAAATAAATTATATTTATCTTTATAATAATAAAAATAATAATATTTACTAAAATTCATTAGAAAAATAAAATTATTTCTCAATTGATATATTTATGTTTAATGTAGTTATATGTTGTAAGTTAAATTTTTTTTATAATATAACACAGGTGAGTCGCACAAATAAAAAGTGTCATACTAAATATATAATCTACAATTATATTTTTATAAAAGGTATTTAAATTTTCAACTACATTTTCTCATCAATTTAGATTTGAAGAAAAAAATTAGCAATCACTCGTGTAATACACGGCGTTGTACTAGTTTTATATTATTCAAACAAAGAATAAGTGTGAACACAAAGTGTGAACACAAAATTATGAACAATCTTAGTAGATATGAGAGTTTTTCATTTGGTGGACTTGTGAACCAAGGTAGTAGTACTTCCAATTTGTAGTAAAGACTATAAAGTTTGGAAATATTAATTTATTATGAGAAAGTATGACCCTATAATACTAATGACAGGATTGGTATGAGGTATGATATGAAAATTGAATGATCATTCTTTTATTCATTCCTTATTTTATGATTGATATCTATCTAAAAAGATTTATCATTTTTAAAAAATGGCAGGTCAATTTTTGGTCAAATCTCTTTCATCATTAATTATTTACTATTAATGACAACTTTTTTTCCCTTTTCTTTTTTCACGTCCAGCTATTAAATGCCCACAAAATGCGGGAGATTTTCAGAAATTAATTTGGTATAAACATTCTCAAAAAATGCGGCTCAATTTCTTATAATGAATACTATTCACTTTAATGATTACTATTCATTTAATTTGTTTAATATTGCATAAAATTTTATTCGGAAAATGTATGAATACAATTATATTTGATATTTGACTTTTTTTTATAACACGTGTATTAATACTTTTTGACATGACATAAAACTATTTTTTTAATAATTACAATTTTTTAAGCACGTGTTTTTATGGTTACATTTTTATTTTTAATTACCTAACATATAAGTTAGTAACACGATTTTGTTTTCCTGTAAAGAATCCCAATTTTAAGGGAAATATAAAATTATATATTTTTTTAATTAGCTCTATTTTTCATGTTTAAAAAAATTAAAAATTTTATTGTTTCCATCTGTTGGGACTCTTTTAAAGGGTTTTATATTCTAGATATCTAAACAAAATTAGAGTTATAATTTCACATAACCTCTGTTTGTTGTAAACAAATCCAATTTATATGGAATTCTAAAATTAAACATACTTTGTAATCAACTATGATTTTTATAACCGTTTTTTATGTTTAATTAAATTTAAAATTATATTGTTTCCAGGTTTTTGGATTCTTTTTTTCAGTTTTGGCATTTTTTTTTAATTATGAAAATCTCTACATACCAGTTATTATAAGATGTAGTAGTTGAAAACAAATCCAACTTATATGGTATTATAAAATTAAACATATCAGTTATGATATGTAGATCGATAATTTATATGTTTAATTAAATATTAATTACACGGTTTCCAACTCTTGGGACTCTTTATTGTTTTCAGATTTTAATAATGTACATGTTCTTATAAATACGGTTCTTCTAAATTCATTCTCATCTACAAATTTGCAAAAACGTTTTCCATTCGGCTTTACCCAAATTCTACTTGCATTACCGTAAAAAAACAGCCATCGACACTGAAATCTCGAATAATATATTAGAGCAAGCTCCTTGCTTGCAGAAATTTATGATTTGGCAATGCATTTATCCTGAAAATCTAATTTAGAAAATCACATTTTTCTCATTGTTGTGCACATGTCCAATAAACTAAATTTAGCGTTATTATATTCTCTGTATTTTTTACATTTATATTGCAAAAGTTAAAATCTAAATGCATATTTATCATCAAATCCTATGAGCTTATGTCCAATGATGACTAACATGATATATCTGATGATTAAAAAAATAAAATAAACCAACTTTGAACAAAAATTAAGATAGATAGCCTACTCATAAACAATTAATAAAAAACAAACAAACCAATTTTGTGTCGAACCTGAAACATTGCAATTATTATTTTCAAAACAATATAGAAATTATTAAGGAAAATTTTACATTTATTTACAGTCTTATTTTGATTTATTTGATGGTCAACCTAATAATTGTTGTATGTAATTTTTTGTTTTATTTGGAGAAAATTGTGAAATACTATGAAATATGAAAAAGGGAGAGGGAGAGAAATTAGAGGGAATCATTAAATTATGTTTGTATCTATAAATTATTCAACTCATTACTAAGGAAGTTACATGATTCAAACTAAAATATACTTTATTAGTATAGCTAGGAATGTACAATAACTATATTCATAAAATAGGAATGAAAAAGTTAAACTTAGAATAAAATATAATTTATAATATAGTTGGAAATTAGAAAAATTGTCCAAGCTTTGGGGCAATTTTTTTGGCGACAACAATCAACATCTGCAGCCCAGGATAGAAGCCCAACAAGGGAGCCCAGTTGAGTGAGGCCCAATTTCCGCAGCCCTTTGTGCAGCCCGCGTCTGGCCGGAGTCGGTCTGTGCTCCTCACAACGAGTTAAACAATAATCAAACTCATATGTTGTATATAAATAGGTTTTTAATAATATAAGATTTTTTAGTGACGAACATTTTATGATGAATAATGTTCGTATGTATTAAACTCTCATATATTCTAATGCATGTCAAATTATAATATTCTCCAAATTTATATATCCGTGCAATTTTATAAAGGAATGATCATTTCAATGAGAATTACAAAATCCATCTCCATGGGAATAGCCATTCCATAACAAATGCAAGGTTTTTCTCATTCCCATATGTGTAGGAATCAATTTCTTAAGAAATAAAATTAACAAATAATAGTAATAATAAATAGATATATAATATATACTATAAATTATGATTAAATTATAGTAAATAAAATAATTCCAAAAAATAAATTTCAAAAATAAAAATTTTTAAAACTTATATTTATTTATTGTTCATATTTAATTAAATATATTAAATACTTATACAACAACAACATGCCATTAAAATCTCACTATGTGGGGTCGGCTGTATGGATCATATGTTGTCGACTCGCCATCATGCTCGATCAAAACACACATCTACATATATTTAAAATTATTTTTTATTATTTTCTTCCAAGTTCTCTTAGGTCTACCCTTCCACTTCTGATTTGTGTTCTTAATTCTAAAGTTTCTAAGCCTCTCCTACGCACATGCCCAAACCATCTTAATATATAAAAAATAAAACTAAAATTGCATCTATAAATATTTTTAAAAAATATTATTTTATTATTATAAATCATATATTAATGTATTCATAAATTGAATTATGATATAAAAAATTTTATTCAACTACATATGCTTATAGGGGTTTATGTATTGCTGTGTTTGTATTAGCTAATATGTTATACACAATTCACTAATTTTTTTTAAACAATTCACTAATTTATTATTATATATATGTGTGTGTGTGTATGTGTGTGTATGTGTGTGTGTGTCTACGTGTGTGTGTATGTGTGTGTGTGTGTGAGTGTAAAAAAAAATATATTTATTAAAATATAGTATATTTTATTTTAAAAAATTAATTTTATTATTATTGTAAAAAATAACATTAATATAAATATTAATATTTTTATATAAAATAGTGATAAAAAATAATATAGAATGATATTGTCATTCCATTTAGACCTTATTCCTTGTGCATACCAAACACATCAGTGGAAAATCTGGTTTCATTCCTTTTCCATATTCATTTCATTCTTCAACTCATTCCATTCCTAACAAATTTCATTCCATTATAACAATCATGCTATAATATCACCTTAACAGTTAGATATAGCATGTGGTTGGAGAGAAATTCAAGGCCTCAACAACTGGGAAAACCTTGTTGAACCCTTGCACCCTCTTCTCCGTGACGAGATCATTCGTTACGGGGAATTCGTGAAAGCAAGCTACGAGGCTTTTGATCTCGACCCCAACTCGAAAAGGTACTTGAACTGCAAGTATGACAAGCATAGCCTGTTGCACCAAGTGGGGTTGGGTGATTCGGGGTACGAGGTCAGTAAATAGATATACGCAACAACCCCACCGAGTACTAGTCAAAGTGGGTCGAGATGGGTAAAGTACGTGGTGGCCTCGGACGATGAGGCTGTGATTAGGCTGGGCAAGCGAGACATCGTCATCACATTCCATTGCACGGTCACCAATTCCGAATGGATTGCGAATGTAAATAGTTCGTTGACGCCTGCTCGGCTCAACCCTCGAGACCCGAGGCCGGACGTGAAAGTGTAAGCCGACTTCCTTAGCCTCTACACTTCAGACGAAAAGGGAAACAAGTTCGGGTTAAGAAGTTGCCGAGAGGGCCGAGGTGTCGAGGCTACTAAACAAGCATAAAGGTTAGGAGATAAGCATTAAAAAATAGTTTTATTCATGAGATAATATTAGTTAACATTTTTTATTCATGATATTTTATTTTTCTTATAGTTTTATAATTATCCAATAAAAGATATTGTAAATAATGGTACATATAATTATGTCATGAATATAACTAATTTGGTACTTTTATAATATTAATTTTTGTAGTTAATTTTTTTACTATATTTTTAATTAAGTAATTACAAAATTGTAAAAACAATTAATATATTTATTATTAAATAATTATAAAATTACAAATTTTTGGGACTTCCATTCCTAGCTAGAAACCTTAGAGAATCATGACTTTGAAAAACTCCTTCAAGTTGTTCTAGTACAGAGTTCCCAAGAAGACGACCTTTGTATGAGTTTCTACCCTCTCGACAGTAGTCAGCACTAGGAGTACCTTGGTGTGTGGCCTTCATCTTACATAAGAATAGTAGGAATTGTGAGCAGATGACTTTGGCACGCGCACGCTGCAGGCGGCTGCTACAATCCATGCTTCTATCATGAAACCAACATTTTAGACTGAAACACGCTCTCAGTCTTGTCTTACAAATTGAGGAGAAACTTGAAAATAGTAAAAACATGTGCAAGAAGCTGGAAGAGAGTGTCATTCGGCTAGTCCAAGAAAATGAGAGGCTAACAAGTTGGAAGAGATTCACATAAATGTCTCAGATTCATTCTCATACAAGAATTATTATTTAAAATAAAATGAGTTGCTACTAAAATGCGACAAACCCGCAATTGACCGAACGGCACACACATATCTCTATACAGATCCTATCTATCACATAATGATTTCTCTTTTACTCAATTATTTTCGTTTGTCAGTCGCATAGTGTAATACATAATTATTTCACATTGCTCAATTATCTTAGCTTTTGTGTCGCATAGTTTATCTCATATTTATTTAGCACTTGCTCAATTATCTTTGTATTTTTTTCCGCATATTTTATCACATACTTAACTTGGTCAATTAACTTTGTTTGTTTATCACATAGTGTATCACATAATTATTTTGTACTTGATCAATTAACTTCGGGGAACGAATTATTAGTAATTCGGAACTAAATGTGGAGTTCATTCATATATTACTCTAGTGAGGTTTTACATTATTCAAACAAGGTTTTATATTACTCTCGTCCCCAAAAAATCCCTCTCCTCTCGCCGCAAAATTCCTCAAATTACCGCCTTCCTCTCGGCTTGCAGACCTTCTGGTAGCTGTTCCCTCGCCGACCGGCCCTTCCCAGATGCCGCGACTCTGCTCGTCACGTGCGCCGGTGGTTTCTGTGGTCGCCAAATCCAAACCGCCCTCTTCTGCAGGTCGGCTAGGGTTTTCGATCACCGAAAATTTTGGTGCGGTGGAGGGTTCATGGGTCGAGGTGCCTTGGGCAAGGGTCGGGGGCTGCTCTGGCGGTTCGCTTTCTCGGTTTGGAGAGCGTCTTGGGCCTCCGGTTTCCTTCTCTTCTATTTCGACTGGGAGGGCTTGGACGATCGTCTTGGTCAGTTATTTCGGTTGCCGCGGTATGCTGGGGCTGTCGGTCAGCCCTGTTCCCTTTCGCCTGCGGAATGGCGATTGAAGGCGAAGACCTTTTGGTCGACGACTGGTAGGCATTGGGGGTTCAACGGTCTCGATTAAAGGTTTGCTTCTTCTCTTATTGCTGCTCCTGTCTCGGTTATCTTTTCCTGCGTCTGGCGGTGCTCCATTCTCTCTCTACTCTCTCTGTCGAGTAGTCGGAGCTCTGTGGTTGTGGCTCTTTGTGGGGAGACAGGGTGTGGGGCTGCGGTTCGAGGGTTGCACTCTTGAGGCTCAGACGTCTTTGTGTATTCGGGATGCGGGTGCTGGTGCTGCGACATCGAGACAGCTCCTTTTCCCACAGTTCTCTGGTTCCGGGGGGGCTCACTGTTACTTCTTAGTCCACTGGTGGTGTCAGGGGGCTCGGTCTGGCGGTGTAGGGAGCTTTCTTGGTGTGTTTTTTTTTTTTTTTGGTGCTGGGAGGAATTGGCTTGGGTGGATTTTGTGGTTTGAGTATCGATTCAACTAGGCGGTTTGGCAGTGGGGGGATCGATTTTCTCTTGCTATAGGATTTCCCCTAGTTGATTTGGTGGCTGCTAGTTAGGTTTGGAGTTGCCGTAGAGGGAGGGCTAGTGTGTTTTTTTTGCTTTCTTTCTTTCGTTTTGTGTCTGTTTTGTTTAGGATCTGTGTTTTCGTTTGGGCCGTTGGCCTCTGTAAGCCTGAGCGGGAGCACCTTTATTCTCCTGTTGGGAGCAGCTCTTGTCTCTATTCTCCTGTTGGGAGCTTGGTAGTTTTTCTTTGTGTTTTTGTGGTGTTAGTTGTCTAGTGAGTCTTGTTTTAGTTTCTAGCGTTGCTAGCATCGAGATTCTAGGCGGTCTTCAGACTTGTCCTCCCATTTTATTCAGCTTTTGGTTGCTTTTTATTCTCCCGTTGGGAGCTTTGTATTTTTATTTGCACATTTGTGCCCTTGGTTTATTAATAGATCCTCTTTCATTCCAGAAAAAAAAAAAAAAAAAAAAACAAGGAATAAGTGTGAACACAAGGTTGTGAACAATCCAAGTAGATTTGAGAGTTTTTCATTTGGTAGAATTGTGAACAAGGTTGAAGTAGTACTTTTGAATTTTGTGATGGAGATTGAAGTTTGGAAATATTTTATTCTTAAGAGGAAGTATGCCCCTACTAATACTAATAGCACCTTAGTATCATGTAGGCCAGTTGTCATCC